AAACAGTCAATTCATTTTAACTATAATTTTTAAAAAATATATTTTTAACAAACTATAAATAATCTCCTAAGCACCGTGCTTAGGTTGCACACTACATTAATGGGTAGTTTGTTTGTCATCTAAGCACATACTACATTAATGGGTAGTTTGTTTGTCGTCTAAGCACGGTGCATAGCATAAACTAAGAACAGTTCTTAGGAGATCAAATTTTTGTGTGTGTATATTATTGCAAATATATAGGGTGTGTCTGGTATAAATTTTCAGCAAATTTATAGCAAGAAAATGACCGTTGTTTTCAACCGATGGGTCCCACTTGTGAGTAAGGAAATCAACTTTGGCTGCTGAGATTTCTTTCCAACGGTTCAAAAATTTGGCTTGAATAATTGATACCAGACACACCCATAATAATAAGGATCTTGCTTGTGGTACATAATTATTCACATAGAGGATGACATAACACTCACATGGGGTGGGGCCCACCATTTTGGTGGGGTCCACCTGGTCAACCAACAGGTCAACTCGATCAAATTCAATTTTGACTAAGTCATTTGTATTTCTATTAAATTATTTAACTTGGCTCGGTCAATGGCTCGGGTCAGCGATTTTCCGACTCGACCGACCGTTGCAGGTCGAGTTTTATATTTATGGTCTAGCCAGATTTTTGGGATGGATGTTGGTATTTTGCAAATGGTGCTAGTGATTTTCTTATCCATGGGTGGTTCTGTTGGTGGTGGTGGTGTGGAAGGCGATGGTTCTATTGTTGGTGGCGCGTGTGGTTGTGATAAGATGGTGCACGTTTGGTTCTTGATGGTGTTGGGAGTGGTGGTGGTGGTGTCGAAGTGGTGGCGACGATGGCAACCGGGTGTGACCAAGTCTATCTTCAACGTGAGTGTCTGTGACTAAATTTGTGTTAACTATAACTGCATGTGACTTGGTTACGTACAATCGCAAATTAGATTGACATGATCACGGATAAGTTACATACAGTCACAAATTAGATTGACCTGATCACAGATAGTCAAACTAAAGATAAATTTGATCACAGTTAGTCACAAATAACACATGTCGGTGACTTGGTTATACACAATCATAAATTAAATACTCACAAACAATCACGCTAAAGAAAATTTTGATCACAGTTAGTCACCTATAACACGGTTCTGGTCATAAACAACAAATTTAATCACAGATAATATAGTTGGTCAAACGCCTTGAAGTTTTTTAGACTTCTACGGTGGGGTGGGGTGAACATTTTCAATTTCAGGAGATTTTCTACTATGGGGGTGGGGTGGTTACAGCCTATATGGCTAAAAGAACCCATGAAGCCGAAGGGAGTTAGTTGCCCGGCTGCCTACTTTTCAGCCAAAATAAAGCAGAAGGAACGAACCCAACTAAGTGGAAGAACACTAAAATAGCATCCAAACCCTTTGAGTTGAAAGTGGTTCAAAACCACATGTTACCGGATGGCAAAATGCACCGGCGGGTTAGTCGGAGAATCATGGAGGAACCACCAAATTTTATTTTATTTTTACTTTACGTTTATATTTTTAAATTTAAATTATTTTTAAAACATAATAAAATAAGGAAACAAGATGAGAAATGGAGATCAGACTCCTCAAAATTACCTAAGGAACAGGCGACACTCGACAGAGAGAGATACACCGACATCACCCTTTTTTCATCCCTAGTTACTCGTCACCATATGTGAAACTCTATATATAAATGTTCGTCCAAGCAACTGACATGTCCAAAAGTCAACTTCAGACCAATCAAACTGATTTTTGATGAATAGTCGATAGAAATTCTGCTTAGTCATATATGAAATTCAAATTTTGAAGATCATTCAATAATCTACTCTACATAGATTTCGCTTTATTTAGTTCCATTTTAGTTTAGTTTTATTCTATAATATAAAATAGAATTTTCAAAAAAAAAAATTTAAATTAATTTTAACTAGGAGTGAAGAATCTTTATGTCGCTTTACTAAGGATCTCGTTCAAAAAAAAAAACCGCCTAGCGGCTTTACGAGACTAACTAATAAAAGGACTAACTATATTCATATGCAGGAAAAGGGGTGGTCTCGACACGATGGAGATGACAAAATTTTCTTGTTTTTTTAAATCGTTTGATAAAACTAAAATAAAATAAAAATTTTAATTTTTCTTGGTAATAATTGAATTGACTCACATCTTCAAACCCTAGCCAGTTTTCTTTTATGAACTAGTTAATAATGCGTCCGTGAGCATAAACGGTGCATGTCGGATATAGCTTTCTTCAATTCTATCCATCTCCGTTTAATGCTCTTACTTACAACTTATTATTTTCTACTCTCAAATCGATTTTGTTCTGCTCAGATATTACAGTAACTCTATGATACTACAGTCCAAAATTAAAAAAAAAATCAATGAAATGGCGCCTGTAATTAACCACCGTTTATTGAAAAGTGACCAACCGCCAACATCATTGTTTTCCCGAGCCATTCGCCGAAGAGAGAGGGAGAGGTGGCCATGAATGCATGCATGGAGTAATAACGTACAATCAGGGGTATTCGAGCTGGATTGCTTGTAACTTGTTATAAAGAAATATAAAAATATGAAAAGTGAGATTTAGGTGGGAAGAGAATTTATTTTGATAATTAATAATGCAGATGCATGAACTTCTTTATATAGTCATGATGTTTTGTTTCTGGCTCATGTGTAACCAGAAATGAGAGGTAAAATGGGAGGGAATTTTTTTCTTGTTTTAATGGTGATATATGTTATGGTGGTGGGGTGTATAGAGGGTAAGAAATTAAGAGGAAATGGAGAGGAAGAGGAAAAACAAGAATGGTTTGTTGATGGTAATGGTGACAGCAGTGGAGAGAGCAGACCAAATATCGCACATTCATTTACTCGGGGAAAAGGGTTGGGTTTTAGTTATCATTATGACAAGCATGATGGTCATGTTGGAAAACCTGATTGCATAGGTAAAGGTGGTAATGTTGGCGGGGGAGGCAATGGTGGTGGCATTGGTGGAGGTGGCCATAATGATGGTGGAAAGCACCATAAGAAAGGGACAAAGCATCATCACGCAGGAGGAGCAATTGGAGGAGGTGGTGTAATTGGAAAAGGAAAAGGTGGAGGAGCAAGAATTGGGAATGGAACTAGGAAAGGAGGTGGACATGATCCGGGAAGGACTATAGGGGGAGGTGGTGGTAATGGCGGAGGGATAAGAGGAGGGGTTGGTAAACCAATTGGTGGTGGAGGTGGTGTTAGTGGAGGTATAGGGAAAGGAAATGGTGGTGGTGTGGGTGGAGGAATAGGCAAAGGAATTGGTGGTGGTGGTGGTGGTGTCGGTGGTGGGATAGGAGGTGGCATTGGAGGAGGAATAGGTGGTGGTTCTGGTGGAGGAATTGGTGGTGGCGGTGGTGGAGGGATCGGAGGTGGCACGGGAGGAATAGGCAAAGGAATTGGTGGAGGCGTGGGTGGAGGAATTGGCGGTGGCGGTGGCGGTGGTGGTGGTGGTGGTGGTGGTGGAGGTATTGGAGGTGGCACTGGTGGGGGATTTGGTGGAGGAGTGGGTGGGGGAATTGGTGGAGGTATTGGCGGAGGCGGAGGCGGAGGCGGAGGCGAGGGTGGGGGTGGAGGGATCGGAGGTGGCTCTGGTGGTGGAATAGGGAAAGGAATTGGTGGTGGGGTGGCTGGTGGGAAAGGAGGTGGCATTGGTGGAGGAATTGGTGGTGGTGGTGGAGGAATAGGAGGTGGTACTGGTGGTGGCACTGGTGTAGGAATAGGTAAAGGAACTGGTGGTGGTTTGGGTGGAGGATTTGGTGGAGATGTTGGAGGCGGTGTTGGTGGAGGAATAGGTGGGGGTGGAGGAGCTAGTGATATAGTTGGCGGGAGAGGAGTGGGTGCTGGTGGAGGAATAGGCAAAGGAATTGGTGGTGGAGTTGGAGGTGTTGGAGGTATAGGTGCTGGTATTGGCAGTAGTGAGGTTGGAGCAGATATTGGTGGTGGGGAAGGGGGTGGCTTTGGAGGAGGTGGCGGATTTGGTGGCAGAGTTGGTGGTGTACTAGGTGGCGGTGCTGGCAGCGGGGGAGTAGTAGGGTATGGAGGAAACAGCGCTAAACTGAAGAAACCTTAATATCAAAAGCAATCAGTTGGCTCTTTTGCTTGCTGGATATCGGATTCTCAAATAATTTAGGTGGCAATATTGCTTATATTTCAATCTCCTGTATACTCCTTTATGTATCGAACTCTCACTCATGAGATCCTATGTTGCAGTTGCTTTCTTTTGGTTCTCGTATAAACATAAAAATGTGAGCTGCAATTCTAATCTTACTTTTTAAGCATTTATAGTACGTAATACTGAAGATGACAGAATGGTACAGTAACAAGATTTTAGTTTGTTTTATTCTTAATCTTGCCCATGTATAATCCACCATACTAAACGTCACCATTGTGTAGAACTCTGTTGAAGTATCAGAAGTAACAATTCAGCAGTTATTTATTTACTCCAGTATCTGTATTCAAAGACAGAACATCGAGAGCAAAGGCACATTATGAACACAAGGAAAAGAGAACACAAGCATTTATTATTAATGTAAAAATTTTATGGATATGCCGTATAGTTTCTTATAGTACATTGAATTAAACGAAAATCATATAAATACTTAAAGCAATCTACGACAGTTAGATACAATATATATAAGCAATCAACGATACGAGAGATCTTGCTCCTACCTGAGGGTAGTAAACACTTCAGAACCCATATCGACAATATTAGTTATTCATGTTACGAGTACGAAAGAATAGTAGCCACATCCTGCAAAACAAAATTTAAGGCAGCCACTATTCATATTTTCTCTTCAAGATGGCTTAGAATGATCTCCAAGGGCATGTTTGGTACCGAAGTATTAGATAGGATTGGACACTACTATACATACGTAATCTACTATTGAATCGATTCTCCAAACGCCATAGTACAAGGTCTTAATGGACGCAGAGAGGAAATATCAAGCTTCAAAGCCGCATTTGCTTCATCCACAAGGACCACTTGACCGCCTCTAGAAACATATCATTCTTTCTCAGTGCAGTGATCAGATTATTATAGGTTATTCGATCAGGTTCCATTCCGTTTTCTCTCATTTCCTTTACCAAAGCTACAGCATCTTCAACCATTCCAGCAATTCCATATGCCTTTATTAATGTGTTATAGCTACACAAATCAGGTCCAATTCCAGAGTCTTTCAATTCCTTTAGTACATCAGCAACTTCTTCAACCCATCCTTGCTCTCCGTAAATGTTAATCGTGATATTGTAAGTGTAATGATCAAATGCACAACTAGAATCCTTCATTCTCTGTAAGACACTTCTAAACTTTTCCATTTCGCCCTCTTTCCCATAGGCATCCAGCATGCAATTGTATGCTTCAAGAGAAACCGTAAAGCCGTCAAATTGCATTTTTCTGACAGCAGAAGACATATTCCTCAAGTACTTGCCTTGCCCATATGCAGCTATGATAGTGTTGTAAGATATAACGTCAACCAATCCCCGTTTCTTAGCCATCCAAAATACTTTCCTTGCCTTCTTGAATAGCCTGGATTTTCCATATGCATGAAGCATCACATTGAAGGTAATAGTATTTGGTGCAAATCCACGCTGAAGCATCTCATCAAAAAGCTTTGAAAGTTCATCCACTGGCAATGCACCAGCACAACAATTGATCACACAATTATACATTTCCTGATCCCAGATTACTCCATCTTTCAAAATTTTGTAGTAAAGATCGGACAATTTATCATGCATGCAACACCTCTGATAAATGCGGAGCATATCACGGAGAAGATAAACATCCGGTATGATATCCTTCTGTTTCTCCATTATTTCCAAAATACTGCAGGCCTCAATTAAAGATCCAGATTTGACATACATTCTTACAATAACGCTGAAGGCTATCATATCCAATTTAACATCTGCAGTCGTCAACTCTATATACAGATTCTTAGCTTCAGAAAACAAGCTCATTGAACTGTAAATGTCAATCATTGTGCAGATAATGTGTAAGTTAAGGTTATTGGATTTTGGCAAGCAAGTAAATATTTTGACGGCATTCTCAAAATTTCCCAAATCTTTGCATGAACATATCAACAGATGATACAAGTTGTCCTCGAATATAGGATCCTCCCACTTCTTGTCCCTTAGAAGTTTTAGTGCATCATCAATCAAGCAATTTTCCACATAAGCCATTGCAAGAATGGAGCAAGATGTTCGACTTACAAGAACATGGTCATACAGAGAGTCTTTCAAAATCAAAGGCACTTTATCGAATCTATTAACCTTTTTATATGATTGCAAAACGATACCTAGGATAGAGGACTCCTGACAACCAATCATCAACATGTCATTTATAGTTCTGATGGCACCCTCTTCATCTTCATGCTTGGCTTGCAAATTTATCATTGTGTACAAGTTTGACGAGTTAGGTTTGAAACCCAACCTTTTGAGTTCCAGAGAGTAAAACTTTGCTTCAATATAATTGTCAGCCCGACCCCAACCTTCAATCATGGACCTATATGTTGTTTCGTCAGGAACCACTCCAACTTCTTTAAGGTTCTGGAACAGTCGTTGTGCACAGTCCATGTTTGACGCTTTTCCATACCCAGTGATCATAGTGTTATATGCAACTATATTGGGGGGAAATCCAGCTTCTTTCATTTCATCCAAGACCTGTTTAGCCACATTCAACTTCCCTTGCTGACAGTAAGCATTAAGCAGAACCAACCAGTTCTCCAGATTCAAAACAACTGCATCTTCTCTCAGAAAGCCAATTATATTTTCTGCTTTTTCATACAAACCTACACGCGTGTAAATTGTAATCATGGCTGAATAAGCCGACTCACAGGTAATTTTCAGATTCCTCATCTCGGAAAATGTAAATTCTGCCTCCTCAACAACCCAACCCTTCCGATAAAGGCTCATCAGCATTCCAAAAGTAGCAACGTTCGGACGAACCCCATTTTCCAACATCATCCGAAACCATCTTGCACCCAACTCCACTAGCCCCCTCTTATAACAAACATAAATAAGGGTATTAAAAACCTGATAATTAAGCTCACAAGACGAGTCACTGACCATCTCTTTAATCATAGCTTCTGCTCCATCCCAATCCTCTCTCCTACCTAAAACTCTGAGAATTAAATTGTAGGCAATCACATTCTGCTTCAACTTCCCATTACTTCTCATCCATTTGAAGAAACTCAACGCTTTGTTATCACTTCCCTTCTCAAGCTGTTTCAAGAGTACATTACAACGTTCAGAGCTCAACTCGTGCCCAAGACTACTAACATCAAAATCTACCACATTTTCACTCTTCAAGGTATTGTCTACCCTAATTGCCTCATGTGAAATCTTGGGCATTTCTTCCTTCTCATTTTTTTTCCCATTTTTTCGAAAATTCACCCTCAATTCGGTATTTTTCTTTACTGCCTTTGCACCCCGAAATTTTTTGCAAACATTCACCCTTCCTTTCTGAAAATCCGGGCTTTCTAGAACCAAATCACTATCACTAGCCACATCTTTATCCACGGTCGAGAAATTGACCAAATTTTCCTCAGAAGTTTCATAAAATTCAGTGTCAATTCTAGAAAATCTAATGTGCTTCAGTTTACAAAAGGGTTTTACAATAAATGCACCGTTTATATTTACATAACCCGAAAATGAACAAATAGAAGGGAGTCTCAATGATTTGACATCAAACCTTTTCTTGGACTCGTACGAGCTGTTATCTAGAGACACTGAAAGTTTCAGAGAGGACATGGAGTCCAGTGATCTCTGCGAATTTGGTGGGTTATTACTAATTTACTTATTTTTGCATTATGAAAATCAATTTTTTAGCAGATGTAGAAAATTAGAGCGTACCGGAAGTGAGATACTGAGAGGATAACGGAGGATGCAAGAAGTGGAGAGGAGAAGTTGCAGTAGTTGGAATGTTCGACGTAGTATTCTTGCTTTCAAACGTGTGGGTCGGATTCTGATATAAGTTTCTCACGTGCAAATTTTCATTTTTTGAGGATCGATTTGAGGACCATAATATCTCTGTCTTTTCACCAGTT